GCCTTTAACGCGCATCCAATTTCGGTGTGCACCCTAAAAAAATACATCGATCTATATACAACCATGGGTGACCCAGTTCATACTATTTTTGAGATAAATTGGGTACACCTCTCTTTCGGCTGAAGTTTTTAATGTTCTGAAAATGCAATGAAATCTGCGATATTTTCAAAAACATTTTTTGACCAAATTTCGTGTTTTGAGGGGCCAGTTTTCGCCGTTTATTTAGCTAGAAGTAAAATTAAAAAAAAACACTTCAAATCGAGCTTCAAAATGTCAGCATCATTTAAAGGTAGATGCAATTAAAAATTTCAAAAATGATACATAAGAGACGTAGTCCCCATTTTGTAGGCTTCTAGTTTTACTTTAATACGAAGAACGTGAAATGAGTGGCTTATTCACAAATCGATAGAAAACATAAAAAAAACTTGTTTGCCCCAACCTGTTTTTACACTTTTTTTTACATTAAAGAAGACACAGCACCCACCAAAATAAAGTTAGGGTGTCAATGTCATGAAAAGTTTGCAACGACAGATCAATAAATCCAAAATTATTCGCATTCTTTCGTATACGAATTATAAAGGGGTGAACCTCGGCTTCAGCCAAAAAATTGCAATAATGCCCATATATATCATTATTACTCCTAGTATGTTTGGTATTGAAAACGGGATATATATCGGTGCACGTTTTGGTGTAGCCCCCATATAACGATAACCACTAATATTCGGTATTTTCGATATGTTTTGCGCGTTTTTCAATTTTCTCATTGGGTATTAAATCTCCTTACTGAATATTATCAATATTGGTCCACTTTTTGGGTAGCCTGTATAATAGTAACCTTTGTAATTGTCGGAATTGTCTTAACTCGGTATTTTGAATGTACTTTGGATACCGAATCTACCTACATAATAATTATCCATATTGGGTCAATTTTTCGGATAGTGCGCATTTAACGGTATCCCCAAATTTCATTATTTTGAGGACTATGGACATGATATTGTGGATTCTTATTGGGTAGAAAATCTCTATACCTAATTGACATTAATTTTATATTTTGGGTTCTCATATCATCATCATTCTTTCCACTAAAAAAATATGATTACCACCCTATTTTTTTGGTATTTTGAAGATTCTAATTCTAACATTCTAATTTCGAATTGTGGGGTTTTGGAGACTGACATAAATATATGCAGAAAATTATAAATTTTGGTCGAGGTTTGGACATAGCCTCCATATAAAAGAACTGCCACATTTTCGGTATCTCCTCATCGGGTTTTTTTGTGGTATTCCATTTTTTTCGTGGGCGGTAAAGCATTCATTATCATTTTTCCAATTTTTAATAGGGTACGTTCTGGAACAGATATATTAGCTCCGAATATGAAAATGTATCAAAAGTCCATAATATTTGATATTTAATTTTACTACGTCTTCGTAGTTAGAAGGTCTTCGTTAAAATTAAATATCAAGTTCTGAAAATTTTTGCAAAAATGAAATCATGATATGGAAAATATTTGCTCATAAATACAAAAATAGTTTTGTATTTATACCAATTTCAAAAATTACAGAAAAATGGCAACCATTCTTAATACCTGATGCAATATTAACGAAAACTTACCAATGCAACAAAATAATGTAACAATTTTTTTGCTTTCTGAAGAGCTGTTTAATGCAGAAAAAACGTTAAAGAACAATCGCATAGCATACGACATTACTCTTTATACTACACCTAAGAGCAAACGATCATTAATGGGTTACAGCGTATTTAAGAGATGATATTGGTATTCTCTTAATTTAAGCGATAGCACACGACAATGTTGATTCGTTAGTTAAACGAAGCAAATTAACTTGAACGAACGATTTGCTATCAATTAGAACTGGTGTGTGCGTGTGTGTAACTAAACGCCCGTGTATGGGTTCAGTGATAAACCGAAAATTCTCCTCAAGTTAATCATATGAAATAAATGGTTTACACATTTTCGCCAGACGTTCATTCATTAAGCAATCGGCCACCGGTCAAGTGTAATTCAGTTCAGTTTTAAAAGCAGCAAAAAAGAAAAAAACGCGCGTCTCAACGTTGTCAAGAAAACGAAATACATAAAAAATAAATAAAACGTCGCTTGGCAAATTTTGACGTACCAACCAACCAATCAATGTGAGAAAGTGAACTTTATACTTAGCTTAATGTTCGACAGTGTGGCGCTAAGTCATAAAATACAAATTAAACAAATTAATATTATAACAAAATAATAATATTAACAATAATAAAAATTAATAACAAATTATGAAAAAGAAATGATTGTGATTTTATTACCATTTTATTAATTTAGTATATGGTAAAATAAGTGTGTGCACTGAGTGTCTTTGAAAATTTTGGACACATAAAAAAGAAATTGAAACATATAGAAAAACAAGAAATAAAAAAATAAATAAACTAATTAAAATCACGTTGGTTCTAAGAGATAAAGAATACCAAAAGAATAAATAAAAAAGAAAAACAAAAACATATGCGTGTGGAAAAAAGTGAGGTCCTGACCTGATTATTCTGAAACGGATTTAATATTTCATTATTTTTTGGAATATTTTGTGTGACACAAACAATTTGGAATCTATCATCAATAACGAATATTTTTCTATTGGCAGTTCATTCAAATGGTAATTATATATTAAAAAATAATAATAATTTATTTAACAAGTTCTGCGATAAATTTAGAGTTGTAGCCTTATCGTAAATTCTGGTATTAGGATTTTCTTCAATTAAATGAGAATTTTTGGAAATTGTTTTTCCTTATTATTTAAGGATTTATCTTTTTCAAAAAATCCTGAAATTAAAATGTTCATTAATTAACTTATGTTTTTGCAAAATAGTCAGGTTGAATCCCAGTTTGTTTAAAAAAATTAAATGATAATTTTTTGGCAAATTGGTAAAAGATTGGTACAAAGCCATAAGTAGCTAAGAAGTTTTAATGTAAGAATTGAAAAATGCAATTATAAAAAACATATTCCTATTCACAAAGCTAAAAGCCTGCAGCCAATAACTAATTCAATATATATATAAATTATTGTATAGACACCTTTTGGAATGAGCGAAGGTATCATAATTTTTATAAGAACTTCTAATTACAGTATTCCCATTTCCATAATTTTGTATTTGAGTGTATTCAAAGATATATTTAATTAAAGCTAATTATTTGTTTTTTATTTATTTATCTTTCTTTATTTATTTCTCTTTTAAATTATTGGTATTTTTTAATTAGGAGACAAATAATTTTTTAAGCATTTTTCTAAAATTAAAAAATATATATTTTTAGTTGCAAAAATGCTAGTATTCCAATTTTTATTACTATTAGTTAAAAATAATTATATTTTTATTTTGAATTTCGAAATTATGAAAATTTGAATTTATTTATTTGAATTTATTTAAGTGATTTCGTAACTTTATATTACTACTAGTTTAAACATATTTTTTTTATTTTTTTTTTAATTTCGAAATTATGAAATTTGTTTTTACTAAACTAATTTTTTTATAAAATCATGTAATAATTCTTACGATTTCATTTAATACATGGCAAATACCCGTCCATAAAAATTCTTGCCTACCGAATAACATTCGTTAAATAACGAATCGAAGGGAATCGTCAAAACCCGATGGAAAAACACGAACAAAGCATTGCACCAATACCAAGTGGGTGCTTTGAGTTTATAAATGCTCTTTTTATTTTAGTCTACAAGAAACCGCGAAGAGGTTAGCAACGGTAATATATTAGGTTTTCGCCAAAGATCGCTTAAGTTCGAACTTGAGTTTTTGCATTGCCCGTTAAATTTAATAATTTCGCGGATTTTTTATATCTTGAGAGTAGAATAGTTTTTTTTAAATACCTGTATTATAATTTATCCAAATTTTTGAAATAAATTTAAATATTGATAGAGTCTACCAGCTTGAAATTAATACAGAGATCTATTTTTTTCGTTAGTTGAAAATAATGACGAAATCTTAGTGAAAATTAAATCACATTTTGCATTATATATTCATTTTTTTATTTTAGCTTAGGCTGATTTTTTGTTCGCTTATTATCTCTACAACAAACACGCAACAAAAAATAGCGAAAAAATCCGTTTCTTTGCAAAACAAAAAAAATTGTAATTTTTTTAACACATCTTGTTATTGATTCTGTAAACTGCAGTATAATAAAGGATATATAATAAAGTTTCAATTAAAAGTGTTTTTAGTATATAGGTGTGCATGGTCTTAAGAATAAAAAAAATCGCAAAAATCTTATTATCTCTACCATCCGATTCTTTGTAAAAAAATAAAAACCAATTTTTTGGACAAAAAAATGTGTTTTTTTTATTGTTTCTGTAACCTGTAATATAATAAAGCATATATTATAATGTTTTAGTTAAAATTAAAAATTGTATTTAGTATATTATATATGTCTATATGTTTATCATTCCGAGGAAAAACGTCTTAAGAATAGGCTTCTTATTGCTTTACAAAAATGCAAAAAGAAAGATTTTGATTACATTTTTACACACATGCGTAGGAGACCCATTTTAATTTTTTTTAATTAAAAACAAAAATTATTTATAATTCTTAATTGTTTTTAATATTTTTTATATTTCTATTAATCTTTTTTCTTTAACATTCTATTAATTTTACAGATTAATCTGAAAACAATGCTGTAAACAAGATTTAATAAAAACGCCAACAATTTTACAACAACAACCGACAAGACTATAAAAAATCAATATTCAACGAAAGCAGAGTAAAGTGAAAAAATCTATGTTTTGTAAAGTATCAAGGACTAAAGAAGGATTTTTAATGCTTCCAAATAGATAGTAGCATAAGTGTCAATACAAAAAATTAAAATAGCATTAAAACCAACATTCGAAAAAAAATCATAGCAATTGAAATTCAAACAACTCGAAAATTCTCAAATATTTGGTGAAACCCGCTAACTGTAACCTTCTCTAAATAACAAATTAAAAAAAAAAAACTACAAAAAATGGCTAAATATTTTATAACATTTGTCCTATTGGCTCTCCTGGCCATGGAAAACAATAACATTTACAATCGCCTCCATGCCAAATCACAGCCGAGTGGTGACACCAATGCTGTGACACATTTTATGCGTCAACATCATCAGTATCAACATCATGGTCAGGTGGCAAATAATCATCATCCCACCCATGATCAACATCATACACATCATGCTCGGAAACATGTCAAGCAACATCAGCGACACAATATCGACAGCAATGAAGAGGAAGACAGCGCAAGACGTTATGCGCAACGTTACAAGCGGCACATGGAACTGCAGGTGGAACATCGACGACAAATTGAGAGTCGCCTGCATCATCGCCCTGTATTCCGTGAGAATGCACCGAAAAATATACCACGTCTGTGGCAACATTTGTACATGGTCTACGATGATTACTACGAGAGTAGTGAGGAGCGTATGTTTGGCGATGCGCCAAATAAAAATAGTCTAGAATATGAAGAGCCTGAGATGCCAGTATATGTTGAGGATAAAGAAGAAGATGATAATAGCGATAGCGATGAGGATGAGAAGCCAAAGAAAAGTACAAACATTGACAGTAGTAGTAAATCTGTGGATATACGCTGTCCAAAATGTGAAAATAGCCATAAGGACGAAGATGAGGAGGAGGAGTTGGTCAGCGAAGAAGAGCTAACACGCTTGCGTATTGAATATGTGAAACAACAAATTCTAGATAAATTAAGACTTAAAGAGAGGCCACATGTTCCGGCGGTGAATTTGCCCAAACCCATTCTAGAGGGTACAACCATACAACAGGAAGAAGAGGATACATCGACGAAAAAGGACTTGGATGATTATTATGCACGTACCAGTAAAAAAGTCATATTCTTAGATGTTGGTAAGTTCAAAAGAAACCAATGTTAATACCACAGATTATTTTATTAAAATATGTCCTATATTTAATTGCAGAACAAGAATTGTGTGGTAAATTGGGTTCCGATCCATCCATGTGCTTTTCATTTAAATTAGATGACAGTGATGCAGATAGCTACGATGTTAGCACTGCTGTTCTGTGGTTGTTTAAGACAAGACATCCACTTAGCAGCAGCAGCATTAGCGGTCGCAATCAAACATCTGGTAATCCGCAGAGAATTGTCGTATCCGAAGTACAACAAGAAACCACCTCGAATCGTAAACCATCGGTTAAAACAATAGCCGTTCAATCCATCGATGTTCAAGGTAAGTTTGAGGAAATGTGCATTTTTTTTACTAAAGAAGGCATTTTTTATAAACCAAATGAATCAAAGTTCCGAAAAATATTGAAATATTTAAGTTTGTGGAAATTTAATTTGAAATTAATCAAATCAAAGTTCCAAAAATCAATCTCATCATTGTTATAATTTATTAGTTATAGGCTCGAAAATTTCACCAACAATTTTAACCTAAATAGTATTTGCTGATTAGAAAATGAGGATGTTGTTATCTTTGCAATATGGTTAGCTTATTATTCTACAATTTAATAGGTTCGGCATGCTAAAAAGCGTAATTAGCTATTATTAATTAGAACGCAAAAAAATAAAATTAATTGTACAATGAAAGTTATCTACCAAACTATGACTAGTCAATAAAATTAAATAGGCGAACAAAAATCACATTTTGAAATCATATATATTAATTGTTATACTGTGTCATTCTGTATAGTGATCTTGGTAACAGAACATAAATTTGTATTCTTTTTTGATTTCTTCGAATAGTTCGAAGTTCATGTGGGTATCCTATATGGTGGGTGATTTGTTTTGTTTTATTATTATTATTGTTTTATTGCTTCCATTTAGAATATCCGGTTAGCTGCATTGACAGTAAAAAAAAAATATTTGGACTTTCACCACGTTATTGGAGTGAAATAACCTCTTATTGATACGAAATCAGTTTAAAAAAATAAATAAATCATATTTTATATTCGGTGATTATGTCAAACATTTTTTTGCTGGTATAAATCAAAATTATGTTCTGAATATTTTGTTGTTGGTGTTTTTTTTTTTTAGTTAGCAATACAAGAAAAAAATAATATATGTGGGAATGACATTCATATCATGGTGTAAATTTGTTATGATCAGAACATATACATACCTATTTTATTATTGTTGTTTATTTTTTTTAATTGTCAAAGGCTATCATTAATGAGGGTACACAACCTGCATTTGATATAAACAAATAATGTTAAAAAATATTGAAAAACGAATAATAAGAGGATGGACCCGTAGACATAATGTGAAATATATTAGCAACTCCCACTCCTCGTATCAGCAATGGTGGTCACCTTGAACATTCGACTTAATACGTTTTTATTTGGGGGTTTTTTTCTAAACATCTACAGCTAATCCCTGATTTGCATATGATTTTGTTTGGGCTTTAAAAGCAGCGCTTGAAACTTGAATTCGTTATTTGATTTTTTTTAATTTGAAATGATGCCTCCTAAGATTTTTTACATCTATAAAAAAATATTTGTTTAATAATAAATAAAAATAAATTACTAATTAATTCTATTTTTTGTTATTATTATCTTTAATAAAAAATATACAAATAATTTAATTTTTATAAAAATTTTACGTTTTTATAACATACAAAGAGTTACAAAAAGTATCCAAATTAAAAATAAATAATAATAATAATAATAAGAAATAATTAATTGTAATTTAACAATTTATTTTTAATATTATAATTTAGGAAATTAAATTAATTTAATTTTTAAATTTAAAATTTTAATAGTAAAAATATTTTTTGACTATTAAAATTGAAGAACAACTTTCCGTTTAATTGATAATAAAAAGTTAAATATTTGAAACCAAAATAAATTGAAACAGTAGCTATAAAAAATTATAATAATTTTAAACCAAAAATTAATTTTAAAAATATATATTTTTTTACTTTTATATATACTTTTTTCCAAAAAATAAAATAAAAAACCAAAAAATATTTTTAAGAAAAAAATTAATTTTAATTGATATTAAAATTTGAAATATTAGAAATCAAAAAAATTACTAGCCTAAAAATTAATGTGGAACCCTATTAATTAATTACCCAAATGGTTTCTTCTACTTCCAGATGAATGGATGAAAATCGACATAGAATGGCCCATAAAACGTTGGTATGGCAAACATGATCTCAGCCATTTAATACAAATCACCTGCCAATCATGTGATATGGCCGCCATGGAACACATCATTTCAACGGATATGGATTATCGGCCCTTTATCATTGTCAATACACAGAGTCGGCGGCGACAGACGCGCCAAAAGCGTACAATTAATTGTACACATGGTGTAACAGAATGCTGTCGCGAAAAGTTGTACATATCATTTGAAGATATCGGTTGGAGTGATTGGATTATTGAACCCAAAGGCTATGACGCCTATTTTTGTCGAGGCTCCTGTAATCGTGTGGCCAGTGTAGCGAATTCCGCTTCGCCGCATAGTTCATTTGTACAGGTATGTTAGCCGCAAAAACAAAATCAATATTGGAATTTATATTAATAATATTTTTTTATTTTTACAGAAACTACTTAACAAACCTGGCCGTAGAAATAGGAATCTTGAATTGGTTCCATGTTGTACAGCCAAAACATATTCTTCGCTACAATTACTGTATTTGGAAAATAATTCCACTGGCACGGTGAAAACATTTCCCAATATGATTGTTGAATCCTGTGGTTGCAGATAGTAATAGCATGACAATGTAATCGTTTTAAAAACAATAGTCTTCTTCCGTCCCCTCATGAAAGAACCACCACATGCCATTTGTATAATTTATATTCACACAAATTTCATTAATACACTCCAAACCAACAACAACAAAATATCGAACAAAATTATCTCCCACTTTACAAATGTACAATATCATTTATTTATATCATCACTCCACACATTAAAATATTGTTTTTTTTTATAAATCGAACACTGCCTTTTAGTAATAAGATTGCCAAATTTGCCATATATGATTTCCATTATAAGATAAGTTATACAAAATATTGAAATTGTAATGGGGAAAATTGACAATAGCTAAGGAAAATATCAACAATATCAAAGAATTTCTAATTTTAATTTCTAAAATTAATATTTTTAAAAATGTATTTCAAACTTTACAATTTCATTATAGTTATAACTTCGTATAATTTTAGAACAAACATAAGAAAATAATATGTATTGATTGTATAAGAAATCTTATAATGTTAACTGATTTAAGTCTTAAGGCTAGCTAAGTTCAGCGAGTAAATTAAATTCTCAACATTTCCGGGTAATTTAGAAAAATATATAAATTTTGAATTTTTTTTATAAATTGCCGGACATGATGATAATTTAGTTTCATATCGTTGCTCCCCATCTATTTAATAGAATTTGTACTTAAGTTATTTTGTACTTAAGTTATAAATTGATTTCCAATGTAAACATTTATTATATAAATATGTGCTTATTTATTTGTATTTAATGTATATAGATTGTATTTTATTGTAAATAATAGTGTGATATTTTTTTTGTATTTTTTCTATGTACATATATATGTAAATAATTGTAAGTAGAAAATTTTTATTATAATGTTTTCTTAAGTTATATTAAGGACATTTAACGAAAAAAAATGAAAAACAAAAAATAATAAAATAAAACAAATTCAATAATGATTAAAAAATGGGTATATTTCTTTTATACGTACTTGTACTGAAAACTACATGGTCATAAGTAAGAACATGCATCGTGCTGTTTTCCGTGACTTCTCATTGTGTAGCACACATTCCTACCAAAAATTTTGCTCCACTATTTGAGGTAGGCCATATATAAAGGTACCCCCCTAATTTACTATTTTGAATTATCATTGGATGTGAAATCTTCATACCAGAAATTATTGAACTTCAATATTGACTTAAGTTTCGGGGTAGGCCGCACATAAACGGACCCCCCATTATTTGGAAGATTATGGATATTGAGCACATTTTCCAAAAAAAAAAAAAAAATGGGTATACATCTAAAATGGAATGACGATTTTAATATACAATCCAGCTCATTGCCCATGGTATAATAAAATAAGGTAACAGCAACTGTAGTTGTACAATAAACGACATGGAAATTTGTTGCTGTAAGTAATACTAGTATCAACGTCATTTATTAAAAAATTTAAACACAACATACTAATTATAAATACAAATTATTTATTTTAAAAAAGAAATATTTAAGTGTTTGGGGTCAATTTATTGATAAAATTAAAATGTTGTCCCTAATTCCAATTTTTCAGCACTATATTTCAAATTGTTTTAGAATGTTTAAATAATAAATCTTATCCATAATTCCGTCAATATAAACGACATTTCCCAGCCCTCATACAACTCCATACCGGAATTGTGTGCTCAGGGTCCACGGTACCGGTGGATACTTTTCATTTGCATTTTTTTAATAATAATTACTTTTTTATATTGAGTTAATATAAACATTGGATATTGTCAGCGACGTAGACAGGCCAGGCCCCCTCCGAAATGAGGATTTATTTTTTAATTTTTATACAGATATTGGATTTTTCGTATCATCATATCATTAAAAAAATTACATACATGTTTGCAAAATTACTAATTTGTTTAGTACAACTGCGATTGAATTTCGAAATACACATATTTGAGTACTCGACTTTTTGAAAGTACATCTATAATTTTTGATACATAGATGACGAAAAAATGTTTTTATTATAACCTCCGCCTTACGGCTAATGAGGGTATATATACTTTGCTAAAGCTAAAATGTGCCTCATCAAAATATTGGTTTTATACTCCATGGTTCTTTGTACCAAATTCGTTTCAGACAAATTGGACTCATTTACAAATATCCGCCCGTCCGTCTGCGTGTCTGTCAGGCCGGCTGATGTGCAAGATAACTCTCGAATGGTCAAAATTTTAATGAAAATTAATTTTATAATATAATGCGAAACCTGTATAATATTGGAAGATGGGACTTATTAGTCCACTCCTTCGAAAACTTGTCAATGTCATATGAACGCAATAGCCAATTTCTTCCAAACTTTGCACGATGCAATATTTTTACCAATCCTATCGGTCCTCTTCTTCTGGTGTCAAAATATTGAATATTCATAAATCTAATATAAAGTGAATAGAATGTCCGATTTGGTCCAAGCAGTGCACATCGTAATAATTCTTTCAAACTTAAGTCTAGTTCGAATATGGGGAATATCGGTTCACTCCTTCAGGTACCTCCCCCACAAAATTTAAAAAATTTTGCTGACAATTAATTGGGAACAGACCATCGGATTTGAACCAAACTTTGACACCCTAATATTTTTACGAAACCTGTATAATGTTGCAAGATTTGACTTATCGGTCCACTCCTTCTAGCTCCTCCCCTACAAAGGGTGAATATTTTGTAAGCTTTTAAATCTCATATGCTCATATCCATCAAGAACCTTGTATATGCCTCTCCAATCTATTTTTGATAAAATTATTCACGTATCGCTATATTTTATGATGCATTTACTCAGAAATATGGCTTATAAATTTTTATATTTATATACAAAATAAAGCGATTATACACGCGAATTCTCAAATTATGAATGTATTTTCAGATGTTTCGAGTTTCAAAGTACTTTCGGCCGAAGTTTTGTTGGGCGGATTTGAACACGGCTGGCCTCAGCAAGTAAAAACTAAAATCAGGCGGTGTTCAACCCAATAAATAAGTTTTTTATAAAAATTTTCTTGAGATATACATCAATCGAAGTAGAATCACGAGTTCTACGATGCTATAATAAGTTTAGGACTTCAACTTGCTCGTCCGAAAACAGGGAAATTTTGGCTTCAAAATGTCAGCACCCGGCTTAGTTGAATGCGGTGGAAATATCGAAGGATTATACATTACAACTATATTGCCAATATAGTGTTCTTCAATTCAGTCGTTGAGCACAAGTCTGTAAATTATGTATTTTAGTCATAAATTAGCAAAAGACAAAAAAATGTTGGCTTCAGCATATTTTTACCCATTTTTACACCCTACATCGTTGTATGTTGGTTTTTTTTTTTCAAAATAATCGTTTCTGAAGTATATATATTCTTAATTAGTGTAATATTCTAAGGCGATCTAGCCATGTCCATCAGTCTGTTGTAATCACTCTAGCATCTGCAGAAACTGAGCTAGCTGTCCAAAAATTTGCACAGAAGTGCCAGAGCTATATCAGTCGACGTGTAGGCATATCCCCCATATAACGGTGCCTCCAAATTTTCTATATTTTGAACACGTTGTGAACCGAATTGGCTGTTATTTGATATTTTGGGTTCTCATTAGGTATTAAATGTATGTATCAAAAATTATCAATATTGAACCACTTTTCAGTGTAGCCCCCAAAAAACGATACAATAAAAATTTCAGTATGTTGGATATTATGGACAAGTCTTTTAACCAATTTTGCTGTAATTTTTTTGGGGATTTTAATGGGCGGAGAATCTCCCTACCAAAACTGGTCAATATTGATGTACTTTTTACGGTAGCTCTCATGTAACGGAATCGGCTGTACTTTTATATTTTGGGTTTACCAAAATTTATTTACCAAAAATTATTAACAATGGTCCTCGTTTCAGTGCGGCCCCTATATAACGGTCATCCTCCAATTTACAGTATGACATTTTTTTAACACGTTAATAAATTTTATTTATTCATCACATTTATTTGCAATAGTTCTTAGCATGAATTTTATAGAAAATAGTATGAGAACGGAAAAACTCTCAATTTGTGAATTAATTTCCGTTATAAATCCATAAAAGTCGTAGAACTATTCAATAGCTAAAGATGGTGTAGGATAACGCGGGAAAAAATATTTTTTGGTTCTCAGTGGCCTCCCCGAAGTGAAATCCTGGCTACGTCCCTGGTTATTGTGTGTTATTAATTTAAAGTTAGGATGTTCATATATAAAAAAGAATATAATTTTATTCATTAATTACACGTACTTATGTCATTTTTATAATGAAAAGGACAAGTAAAGGACAGAATCTTATTTGGGATATCTTTTAAAAAACACTGTCGTTATAAACAATTTTGACAAAATATCATAACATATATCTCAATAAAACAACTTAGAAATAATCAAAAAATCCGTTTGTTGGGGTGATGCAAAATATTGTAAAACACATAATGTCCCTTTCGACAGACATTCAAAGTTCTCAAGATAATCGGTGCTGGCAGGTGTATTCCAGTATTTAGGCGTCTCTTTCGTATACGAAAATCATTTTATAATCGACTTCAACCATATATTATTCGGCAATATTTGTATCACGAACGGAATGCCTACTTTGTGGAGGAGGGAATATAACAACTACATCCAATTACTTTCATTTCAAGAGATAACGATTTTTGGGGTCCTGACCTCTTTCATTTGAAACGGATTAAAGATTTTTTCTGGAATATTATTAAAAAAACAAATTGGAAGTAAACAACCAAAAAGCTATTAATCATTGTGTTTTAGTTCTGCTGAATTAATAATATTAATAATAATATGAATTAATATATAATAATATGAATTAATATATTTGCCGAACTTATTGTGACATGTTCAAGGTCTGGTGTGCGGAAAATTCCTTTCGATGGTGAAATTGCGAAATTATGAGTTTTTCGAGGATGACATTATTTCAGACCAAGGAAAATGTAAATTTTTAGAAAATATCTATGTCAATGTAAATCAGTTTCTTGTAGATGA